CGTCTCTTCCCATGAACGTCATCAGCCACCCCCCCCCCCTCCCCTCGGCCCCACCCCTTCCCCGGCGGGTCTGGGCGCTGGACCGGCGCGGAGCCTAATAATTACAATTGGGTTTGGGGGTCGATTATACTAGAAATAGAATAAGGACCCCCCCAAAATAGTATAGCTAATTATTTAGGACCCTAGATTAGCTATCTATGTTACGCTTATGTTCAGCAACCCCACAGAATAGTATTATTATGAAGAATCGGATTGGGCGTTTTTGGGGGGTGGCATTATGCCGTACTAGTTATGTGAGTTGAGAGCTGAGCAGCCGCCACGCTACAAATTCCCTACTCTTGCAGCAGCTCCGAAGAGTGCTATCAGCAAGGAAAGAAACTCCTACGAATGTCGGAGGCAGAGCAACGTACATCCTCACGCAAGGAAACTGAAGTAACGACATGTGGGTATCTCTCTAAATTAGGGTCCCTGTTGAGGGTCCTTTTTATAAGGGTGCCGTACTATATTGGGGACCTGAAAAGGCACCCTATTTTAGAGAACTACCCATGTGCTGCAACCGACCCTAGCTGCACACTGCACAACCCCACATGACGGTACCCTGAGATTGTCCTTGGCGACAAGGATGCATCCCAACAACGAAAGGCCTCCGGCGATGGCGGACATAGCAAACCATACACAAGCTAATTGTAGGGGCCTTAATAATTGGAATGCGGACATAGCAAACCATACACAAGCTAATTGTAGGGGCCTTAATAATTGGAATTGAGTTTTGGAGTATATTCTACTGTAGTTCTAACAAAGGAAGGGCCCCTGTTCAACATACCTTGCTCTTGCTAGTACCTAAATCCCCCCCTAAACCCTAAACCCCACTATATATTCACCCCGAAAGCAGAAGCCATGACACAAAAAGGCAGGTGGCGCAGGGTCCAAGTAGAGGCTGGAAGCCTACACCATGAAGTCTGGTAAAACTTGGGTTTAGGGTTGAGGGTTTATACCATGAAATCTGATTTGATTTCTATATGTTACTATAGGACCCATTAAAATCCAAAAGCCCAAGACTTTTTTGTGATGGGTCTGTTTATAGGAAACTACAGGTGGGGAGTTTAGGGTTTATGTCTGGGTTTATAGGGCTTCTATAAGGCTTCTATAAGGTATACAGACCTTCTATAAGGCTCCTGTAACGGTAACTAGGGGTAGTCATTTACTGCAACTCGTTTGCTCCTCGTTCGATTCCTATCTGAACATTAACACATTTAGAATTGAGTTTGGGGTATGTGACTCTATTTAATCGAGTAGTAAACGATAAGACTAGGATAAGCCCTAAACCCTAAACCCTAAACCCTAAACCCTGAGAATAAGAATAATAAGAAGAAGACGAAGAAGGGTAGCAAGAATAACAATAAGAAGGATAATAATAAGAATAATAAGAAGAAGAGTAAGGAGCAACCCGAAGGAGTGGGCTAGGTACTGCTTGAGGGCTCTATGTTACGAACAGCTAAAGCATGTGGCTCGAAGGCTACATGCTCTGCTCTTAGAGGCCTCAAAAAGGTGGGATGAAGGTAGGTGATGTAGTCATTAGAATAGGGTTTTGGCGTAGATTCTACTATAACTACAACAAGGAACCCCGCCCAAAAAAATACTCTACGTAATTATTTAGGCCCCTTTTTTAGGGCAAGGAACCCTTATATATGGATTCTTATTTGGGATTGCTTAATGATTGGAATAAGGTTTTGAGGTGTATTATACTATAAGTGCAGTTCTTGTTTTGGGATTACCCCCACCTAACTTCGCCCCGGAAATTCCAGCTTTGGAGCCCTTTTATACTCAGCCGGCCTGTGGCAAAAACGTGGATGAACCCGAGCGCTTCACCAAGCACACAAGCACCTGTCAAGGCATGCAAAAGGCAAGAGACCCTAAACCCTATAACCCCCAAACCCTAAACCCTATACCTATACCCCCAAAATCTTAAACCCATTAGCCCCTAAACCCTAAACCCTCTACCACCAAATTCCTCAACCCTATAACCCCAAAATGCTAAACCCTATAACCCCCAAAGCCCTAAACCCCAAAACCCCAAACCCTAAACCCTATAACCCCAAAACCTAAACCCTACAACCCCAAAGCCCTAAACCCTATAATCCCAAAACCCTGATGTGGGCCAGCGTGCCCTGACACTGCTCAGGATCTGAAGTTTGGACGCTACAAGCCGCTCGAACTTGGCAGGCCCTTGTCGGTCGGGTTTAGGGATTTAGGGCTTAGGGCTTAGGGATTAGGGGTTTAGGGGTTTAGGGTTTAGGGGTTTAGGGGTCTAGGGTTTAGGGGGGGGGGGGGGGGGGGGGGGGGGGGGGG